AAAAAGAATCCCATCATTCTTTAACTCCCTTGGTACATTTATGATAGGATTTGATCCACAGACTTCAGAATGTAGCATAGTCACAGTACTGTGAGGATGGACCTATCCTTCTCTGGGCAAGAATTTGGATAGAAATCCACACCATCAGCCAGTCCAGGCTGGTGACTCTGCCTCTTAGTCATCCATTACCTGTCCTTGCCCATCTTCTCGTCCTAGGATTTGCTGGCTCCTGCCTACCCCGCTTCAGCACCATGCCCTTCATCTACTGCAACATCAATGAAGTCTGCCACTATGCCAGACGCAATGATAAATCCTACTGGCTCTCCACTACTGCCCCCATTCCCATGATGCCTGTGGGCCAGACCCAGATTCCCCAATACATCAGCCGCTGCTCTGTATGTGAAGCACCCTCACAAGCCATTGCTGTGCACAGCCAGGATGTCACCATTCCACAGTGCCCTCTGGGCTGGCGGAGCCTCTGGATTGGGTACTCCTTCCTCATGGTGAGGCCCTGCACCACTCCTCCCTCAGTGGCAAAACTGAATCAGAGGGTAGGAGAGAAGAGCTAGGGGGAGGGCCCTCCCACTGGTTCCTAGGTTCCTAGGTAGAAAACAGAGTTTAAAAGGAAGAGACATGCTTAAATTAAGCTTGGTTAAAGACACAAATGAAAGTTAGTTATGGTGTATGGGAAGAATAGCATCCACTGTTCTGGGCTTAGAAAATGTATGATTTAAGCCAAGGCCCTGCTCTATGTTGGCTTCAGTTTTGTCACTACCAAAGGAAGGATGCAATATACAATGAACTGAGGAGATACTGAGGGGAAAGCTGTCCTCAGTGGAGGCCAGCACATACCTATGCTGGTCAGGCTGAGCAGAACATTCTCTACTATTCCAGTTACCCTCCCCAACCTATCTGGCCTCTGCCATCTTTTCTTCAGAAGGTTCACATGAGGGCATGCTGTGTTTCTATGTCCTTATAACCATTGTTGCTCTCCATTTTCTGTGGGAAGCCAGTAGCCAGTCATGCTTTCTGTCTAAGAAACAGAATCCATAAGTTGAAGGAGGCCTCAAGTCACATGATCCTTTGAATACCTGAGGATGTTTCTTCCAATGAAGTCAGGATTAGAGCTAGGACAGTTCTTGGTAAAATTCCAGTGTGGCACTCCCTGAAGTGCGCTGCCTAGCCAGAGCTTGTCTGTGACTCACCAGAGGTGAGATGATGGGACCGTCTTTGAAGAATTTCCCTGCTGCAATCTCCTTCACATTGGTACACCTACTGGAAGCATGGTAGTTTTTTTATTATGCTCTGTCTTTCCACATTGGGCAGTTTACCCCAGTGGAATTCAGGATCGCCTTGCCTGTTATTCTGTTCTACCCCCCACTCAGACTAGGAAATAAGAAGAAAAAGCCCTTAAAGTTTCCACAAGAAACCAGCCAAAAGATATATACTAAATTCTCATGTGCTTTGCTTTGCTCGTGGGAAAGTCATAGTTCTTCTTCATAATCTCTTTACTCTTTGTACATAATTCTAACAGATGAGGGTATATTTTCCTGAAAATCATCAAGGGTAAGAATTCAGACTGCATAGTAAGGCACCTTGAGGACAACTTCAAAAAAGTGAAATGTGGGGAAAGAATTGAAAGGAAGCTCAAGACAGCAGCATCCCTTGGAATAAGAACCTTGCATAATTGCCCCCCACACACATACACACAAACTGGCATTTATCAGAACAAGCTTGAGACATCTACAAAGTTCCACTCTCTGAAAGTTCTACAAACTAACTTGGCACATGGCTCACTGCCTATTCGCTAGCACAGATGTGCATGCCACCTCTTCCCCATCTCCTGTGCTTCGAGCTAAGGTGGAGGGAGAAAGCTGGGAATGTGGAGAGGAGAGGGTGGTCTGGGGAATACAGTGACTAGAGACTATTAGCAATGAGGGGCCCTAAAAGGAAATTCTGAGGGAGCTCTCTGAAGTTAGGCCTGAGACATTTTAGGCCAAATACACCCAGGCCTTCCTCTAGCCATCAAATAACAGGTGCTATATGTCATCCCAAAGGGTGCGACACAGATTGCAAATAGAAATAGTTCTAGTATAGGGAACTTCTAGGTGAAAACTGTGGAGGAACAGAATTATAAAAGGAGGTACAACAGGAAATATTATCCAAAGGCCAAAAATGTCAAAAGTATTTGGGCGCTCTTATCTAATCCCTAAAAGATTTTAGGGTTGCCACTTCAGAGAGGGGGGATGCTAAAGTAGCAAAAAGCCCCATGAAAGAAAGGAAGGAAGGAAGGAAGGAAGGAAGGAAGGAAGGAAGGAAGGAAGGAAAGAAGTCAGAAAAAAAGTGATGGGGAGATATGGGAGGTATTGGAGGGGAGGGAGTGGGCGTGGATTTGATCAAAACACCTTATATGCATGTATGAAATTCTCAATTAAGTTTTTTTTAAAAGTTAACAAAAAAAGATTCAACCCTAAAAAACAAGGAGGTACATCAGGGAATATTGCATCCTCTTTCCTTTCTTAGTGGACAGTGCACAGTAAAGGGCTGAAAGCACCATAATTCAGAAACTAAATCCATCCTTGCTTAGATTTATTTGTGTAGGGTCAGCAAGATGGCTCAGCAGATAAAGCCACTTGCTGCCAAGCCTGATGACCTGAGTTTGATCCCCAGAACCAACATGGTAGAAGGTGAGAACCAACTCACACCCAAAATAAATAAGTGTAATAAAAATGTTTTTTAAAGATTTATGCTGGGCTGGAGAGATGGCTCAGTGGTTAAGAGCACTGTCTGCTCTTGCAGAAGACCAGGGTTCAAATCCCAGCATCCACATGGCAGCAAACAACTGTTCATATTTCCAGTTCCAAGGGATCTAAAGTCTACTATGTCCTCAATGGGCATTGCACAACACAGGTGCAATTACATACATGCAGACATAACACTCATACACATAAAACAAAAATAAATAAATAAATAAATAGAAGGAAGCTGAATTTTCTTAAGGGGCACAAATAATCTCTAAAAAGATATTTTTTAAAAAAGATTTATGTCTCTATAGAAAACAGGAGTTGGTGAGGGTACACCTCACACAGCTGTGAAGTCAGTGCAATAGGAAAAATTGGGAAATACGGGTTCAAATGTGGTTATGGACCATGTAACACGGTTAGGAGGGCACAAAGTAAATGGCAAGGGGGGCTTGTCCCACAGATTCTCTTGAGTGGGTGGGCAGTGCCCTGAAAGCCCAGGTTCGTCATGCTGACTAGAGGCTGAGTGATCCCAGGTCCAGAGCACTAGAACAGGGTACATATGTCCCCCTGAAGCAGCAGGACACAGAGCCCTTCCATGATGGGTCCCGGCAGGCACAGCTCACACACCACTCTCCTGTCTTTCAGCACACTGCTGCTGGGGCGGAGGGCGGAGGCCAATCCCTGGTCTCCCCTGGCTCCTGCCTTGAGGATTTCCGGGCTACTCCTTTCATCGAATGCAGCGGTGCCCGAGGTACCTGCCACTACTTTGCCAACAAGTACAGTTTCTGGCTGACAACCGTGGAGGAGAGGCAGCAGTTTAGGGAAGAACCTGTGTCTGAGACACTGAAGGCTGGGCAGCTGCACAGCAGGGTGAGCCGCTGCCAGGTGTGTATGAAAAGCCTATAAGGAGTCACCTGTCATGGTGCCCCTGGTCTTCCCTATGCCCTCACAACAGTTACTTCACAAACCTGCACAGTCTGAGGAAGGAAGTCCTGAGCCCATTTGCCTGTCAAGCTGTACATTGGAGTCTCATTTGGACTGGCCTACTGGACACTGATCACCCATCCCCTCAAGTCCAACAGATGAGCCCACCATGTTGGGATTTGCTGTCCTATTCCCATCAATCTGGTGCTACTGTTCCATTTGGACATTTGTTATTATCCATGTTACCTCAGAAATATTTGCTGGACTACCATTTTCAAAGAGCACTAGGTCTCCTCGCTACAATGATCAGGAAGCTCCTCATAATAGCTATGTTATTTCTTTATGACCAGACGTCCACCACACATTAACTTAAACCAGAATTCAGGATTTTTACATTAAATGTATGTCTCCGGTTGAACAGTTTCAGACAGTTCATGTCTGCTTAAGGCTAGCCCTCCCTATCCAAGGCAGTCCACTGTGTCTAGGCAGGCAGTAGAGCTGGAAACAAGAAGCCAGCCTATACCCGGACAAGCTGTGATTCCTTTCAGAGTTTTTAAGACCACGCCCCATCTTGCCTAGGGAAGTCTGAAGGCCAGGAGCTGAGAGAGGTCTATAAATTTCATTTGGTCCTAGACAGATCACTGCCTCCTGGTGGACACACTCCTCAGCCAGATAGACAGAGGACTTGGCCTGGTCCAAACTAGAGCCAAGGATGCAATAAATGTGGGCAAGCCCATATAAGGAAATGAGAACCACATCTTTTTCTCCTTGGCCTGGGGTAGAGGGATGAATAGGAATGGAAATGTCAATTTTGATTTTGACTCCAGGAACAAAGTGGTAAATCTAATGCCCCCATTTCTCAGCAGTTCTTGTTTATTCCAAATGCCATCTGGATGTGTGCAATATGGCAAACCGAAGTTGCAGTATCTTAGTTCCTTGCATTCTGATGCTATTGGAGACTTTCTAGTAAAATGACTATTCAGCTACTCTTTCACAGGTAGCCTTTAAACTGTTTTAATGCTTAAAAATATCTCATAAAACACCTAGCCTACACCTGTCCTTAGCAGTGAGCAGACCTAAAGCACAGCCTGAGCTGGTGAGGTATACTGGATTCTGTTTGGGGCAATTTGTTTTAATTACCAGTTTTTCAGAACATCTTAGCTATATTGACATGAAGCACTCTCTTCCAGGCGATTCTGCTGTTTTAGGTGTTATGTAAACTGTGCCAACATAGGCAAAGCATAATCAGTATAATCTGAGCTGTTGTCACCATCGCTCCTAGATAAGTAAAGCATGCTGTCAGTTTGTATATACCAAATAAAATGAATGAAATCTAACACTTGACTTTTGGCATTGTTTAACAGCCTTTTCTGATATCTGTTCTCAATAAACTCTATAACAAAATACTGAGATAAGAACAAATTAGAAAGTGATTACATTGCAGGGCAGAAAGAGTCCTCTCCTGGTCAACAAATGCACAACATGCTTCACAATAAGCACACAACTGCTTTTATCTCTATCACATGTTAGAGTTCAAGAAAGGAGTTTTCATTCTGCTGTAGACTCAGGATCATTTATAGATATGTTAAATGTAGAGAAATATTGAAGTCATTAAAACAAGATTTTGAGGTTGGAGAGATGGCTCAGCAGTTAAGAGTGCTTGCTGCATAATCATGAGGACCTGAGTTTGGATTGTGCAACCCATGTAAAAAGGTGGGAGCCCTGTGTATTCCTATAACCCCAGTTTTAAGGAAGGTGGAAACAGGAGGATTGCTCGGCCTTGCTGGCTTCCCTCCCAGCCAAGTAAAATTAGGCCTTAAGTTCAAGGAGAGATCTTGCCTCAAAGGAATAGATGTACAATGACAAAGGGGGACATCTGATGCCCTCATGTGGCGTCCACTTGTGCACAGAGATGCACACAACTGCACATGCATGTACACACTAATACAGACACATACAATTAATTTTTAAAATAAATCTAAATGGTGTGTGTATGCAAAATTTTCATGTGCATACAGATGAAGTATCTGCATATATTTGCATATTCATAAAACATTCCTGTTGAAGGGTAAACAAGAATAGCAGCAGGAGTTTTCAGAAATGGGAATTGACCTTGGGAAGGAGAGATATCTCACTGAATACCATTTTACATCTTATGAATTTTCAACCTATGGAATTCAGAAAAAAAAAGAAAAACATGGAACCTAAGAAAACAAGTGAATTGGTCAGTGGTAATTTCTAAACGCCAGATACAGGCTCCTGTAGAAATCTGCTAAGGATGAAATGCAGACCAACATGAAAGTTAAGGAGGCAGTAAAAAGAAAGTAGAAAAATGTTGCTGAGAGTTGAGTATCCTCCCAGGCAAGTGCTCAGCACGGGCAAACTGATGAATACATGCTTCAAAACTTCCTAGTCCTAAAATTATTTGGAATTATATTTAATGGACAGATTAAATTTAACCACATGAATAGTTCTTTCTAAATATGGTTATCAATCAAAACAAAGTATAATTCAGTTTATTCTAATTCCTCAAACAAAAACCCACAATTTAAGTGAGTCAGTGGTAAGGCTATGTCCAGCCCTCCACTTGCTTTTGTAAATCGTTTTATTAGATTACAGCCACACTCACTTACATGCATATTGTCTGCGGCTGCTTTTACAGAGTTGAATAATTATGACAGAGGCCACATGGCTGCAAAGACTAGACTATTAGTCCCTTTACAGAGAAAGATTGCTGGCCTCTGATTTAAGTATCATGATTTAAGTATCATTTAAGTGATCATGATTTCATTTAAGGATATGCTGACATCTAGCAAAATTATAAGGATTCATATAAATTATAATTATTTAAATTACATATTCAAATAATTTAACAAGAGTATTTTCTCCCTGGTTCATTTCTTTTATTATTTGATCAAGAAAGAAGATTACCTCTTATTATTTAGCCCAAAATGATGAAAAAGAACAGTCTAACCATCTCTCATCTGCTGGTACTTGAAGCAAGATGGGAGTTGCTGTCTGTCTTCCAACATCCTCATTCCAGCCACTGAAGAACTGCTGAGGCTACGTAAGGCAAGCCAGGAAGCAGTGGACACCAAATCAGTTGTCTCCTAGACTCCATGATTGTTCTGCTTCTTTTCAGGGAAGGGTTGGTATCATTGATTTGTTGTTTGGTTTTGTTTCTAAAAAACTGTAATTGGCTCAGTCATGATTGCTATTGAGTTTGTATGCTGTTGGCATACCAGGCACTTGCTGACTACAAAAGTTTTATGTAATAAGTTCATGTTCTTTTGGTGCCAGATGGAAGACAGACCTCCAAATTGAGTTCTCACTATGCTACACGCTCAGAATCTCAAAATCTTCCTCCAGGTCAAAGTCCTCCAGTTGTTCAGTCGAGTCTATGAATTCTGTCAGAATATAGAAATGAGAAAGTAAAAAAGCTTGATACTTGGCTTGATGATTTCAATCAAGATTACACTCAGTTGATGTAAGTCTTCATGCTTTAATCACTTTGCTAAAGAAAGGCTTGTCTGGAGGAAACTTACAATTAGGACTATTAAGAAGTGGAAGAAATTCTCTTTAAGACTCAAAATAACTAGACCTATTTATGTAGGCCTGATCACAGCAGTCTGGCTTATGGCATGACTTTTGAGGTACCTTGTTTATCTGTCAGCCTGTTTGTGTGTGTGTGTGAGTGTGTGTCTGTGTCTGTGTGTGTCTGAATCTGTGTGTGTGTGTGTGTGTGTTTGTTTGTTTGTTGAGACAAGGTCTTGGTATGTAGCCTAAGCTGGCCGTGAGCCTCAGCATTCTGAATGACTGCAGGCATACACCACCAAGCTCAACCTCAAGGTACCTTTTGAATTACCCATGACCTCTGATTTGCTGTTCTGAAACAAACTGTAGTCATCTTGATTTTGCAAAGATAAACCCTTTGCACTGAGTTAATGGTTTCCTTTTATCATTTTTTAAAATTAGGAAATAACAAATCAGAAGATTAAAATAATCAGAAACACCATTCCTTGATCAGCCTGATTGAGTAGAAATGTCATTTTCCATAGGTATCATGAGCCACAGTTACTTTTGTCTCAGAAAACAGTTGTTACATGTGGGTCTGCTGGCCAAGACCTCACAAAAGCAGCTTACCTGCCCCTGTGGTTGTCACTTCTGGTTTGGCTGGAGGTACAAAGGGAGGCCAGTGTGATGGGTGCTTCTGAACTAATTCGAACATCCTCAAATTCTCCTTCAAAATTTCCTGGTTGGGCAGAGAAACAGTTGTAAACACTGCAGAATCACCATACTTCTATCATGACTTCAAATCCTGCCAGTAGCCAAGTAGTTGACAGGTAGGGAAAAAAGGCCTGGCAAATACATCCATCCTCTACTTGAACCACCTAAAACCCTCATCTGACTTCAATTCTAGATCCTTCTGACCAGGCAAGAAGTAGCCTGATGAAGCCCAGTGTCAATTGTCCCAGTCATAGGGCTTAGGAACTAGGATAGGGACACAGGTTTACCTCAACCCAGGGGTGAAATGTTACAAAGAAATGCCATTTAATCAAATTAAATATACTTCAAAAGAATTCTGGAGCACACTGACATGCCTTCAGATATATGTAGCCCAAAATTTAAGATACACATCCTACTTTAAATGTCACAGTTACCATAAAATTATCATTCTGTCTTAAATATCAGTTGAGCTTTGCTGCATTCTGAAATATAAGAACTGCTTTTAAAAATAATTCTCTTGGGGTTGGAGAGATGACTCAGTGGTTAAGAGCACCCAGATTCAGTTCCTAGCACCCACATAGGGCATCTCAGAACTGTCTGTAACTCCAGCTGTGGAGCATATGATGCTCTCTTCTGGCTCAATAGGTACCTGCATACACATGGAACACGTTCACATAGACATACACGTACACATAAATAAAAATAAGCCAGATGTAGTGATGCATATCTTTAACTCCAGCACTCAGGAAGCAGAGACAGATGGGATCTCTATGAGGTCAAGGCCAGCCTAGTCTACATAGTGAATTCAAACCAGTTGAGGCTACCAAGGGACCCTGTCTCAAAAAACAATAGTAAAGATAAAGTGGGTGAACTAGACCACTCAAGCAAAGATTATGAAAAATTTAAGAAATCACAAGAATGGAATATGCAGGAATTGTGTGACACCATAAAAAGACCAAACTTACAAATCATAGGCATACAGGAAGGAGAAGAATCCAAAGATAATGGCATGGACCAGATCTCCAACAGAATTGTGGAAGAAAATTTCCCAAA